ATAAACGAAATATAATCCCGACTTATATTTCCATTTTCAAAAGTCGACGCAGGGGAACAATCTCATCTAAGATCCATGTCCCTTCGGCCGTCAGTTCCCTGCTTCAGGAAGATAATTTTGGCCTAAATACATACGTTGTAAGCCATGGAAATCGAAAGAAACACAAACTATGTGGTCAAAGAAAAGTAGCACCCATCTTGGGAAATATTCAACCTACGTATAATGGCTCATATTCCAGTTATAATCTCATCACGTAATTATAGATATAAACGAAATAGGCGCAACCTTACCAACCTAATTACTTTAAACATTTCAAAACGGAATCCTAGACCGACTAATCAAACCGCTAATAAAACTATATCTAACATGCCAACTATCCTCCTAACGAACATATGTCACATTTCGAACAAAGTTGACGATCTACACGCTATTGTTGAAATGAACAGTCCCTCCTTGATTATGATTACAGAGTCCTGGCTGAATACAAATATACCCGACTCTGCTATAAACATTGGAAGAATGTTCAATACCTATCGGCGGGACCGACTTACACCAGGAGGGGGTGTATTAGCATATGTGAACGCTTGTATACCAACTACATGTCTAAAAAATTTAGAAGAAGATAACAGAGAGGTCCTATGGCTGCTTCTTAAACCCCCCAGAACCCCTAGGCCTTTTAGCGTTATAGTGGCAGTTGGCGTCTACTTCCCCCCAGGGCAGTCGGCAGAAAGTGAAAGAGAACTGATTGAGTATATTACTAGGGGACTTGATTATGTCTTACGAGATTACCCGTCTGCTGGTGTTTGCATAATGGGAGACTTCAATCAAATGAAGCTGAGTAGACTATGCAGAAGATTTAACTTGAAGAAGTCTGTAAAAGCACCGACAAGAGGCACCAGAGTTTTGGACCAAATACTAACGAACATGTCAGATTTATATAAAGAAGTGGTGCACCTGCCTCCAGTTGGTCGCTCTGACCATCAATGTTTGTTGTATAGTCCCAAAACAATACAAACCGTGAAGCCTTCTACTCGAAAAGTGCGCCTAACGAAACCATGTAACCTAAATGCACTCGGCCTAAAATTAAACCTTGAGGACTGGAAATCAATATTTGAGGCTCGAGATATCAATAACAAAGTTAGTCTTTTTACAAATACTATAATAGACATATTAGATAAAACAATACCTGTAACCACGATACGTACCCATGCGTCTGACAAGCCATGGATGACGGCTTATATCAAAAAAGAGATTAAAGCGAGGCAAAAAGCCTATACTACTGGGAACATGACCAAATATAGACAATTGGCTGATAAGATCATTACACTTATCAAGAAAGCTAAAGCAGAATTTTATTCATCTAAGGTCAAAAGCAAACGCAAACACGATGCAGCAAAATGGCATAGAACGATATCCCAGTTAGCTGGCTTTGAAGGTGACAATCTAAACAACAACTTAATCTCAGACAGCACTCCAGATACAGCGGAAATACTGCAGAATATATTTACTAAACCATGGTCAAAACTTCCTGAAACCATAATCCCTAGTCTTGAAGACGTAGCGTCATCACTGAGGCAAGAAAATCCTCCTACTCCCTCAATTGGACAGGTTAAGACTGCCTTGAAACAACTAAACTCTAAAAAAGCCACCGGGTCCGATGGGATTCCAGCATGGGTGCTTAAACGATACTGTGAAGAACTAGCGCCCATCGTTCATGACATTATTTGCGCCAGTATAAAAGAATGTGAATATCCAACTGCGTATAAACACGCCTTAGTTATCCCAGTTCCGAAGGTCAATCCACCAAGAGATATCGAGAATGACTTTCGCCAGATATCCATTCTTCCCCAAATGGCTAAAGTGCTGGAAAAGCTGCAGCTCAAACTGAACCTTCCCAGTTCACGTATAAATGATAATCAGCATGCCTTTACAAGCAAACGATCAACCGTGTCCGCACTCACCAACATCTCGCAGAACTGGTTTAATGTGACCGACAATACTCACAGCGCCAAAAATGGAGTTCATGCACTATTCATAGATTTTCGCAAAGCGTTTGACCTTGTTGACCACGGAATTCTACTTCGTAAGCTCGCAGAAATGAATGTAACCAAAGCCTTTTGGCTATGGACACGTAGTTTTCTGGAAGATAGAAGACAACAGGTCAAACTAGCAGGAACCCTATCATCGGTCAAACCTTGTCCTGCCGGAGTCCCACAAGGTTCTGTGATGTCCCCCGCTCTTTTTAATATTCACATTAACGATATTGAGAACTCAATCCCAGATGGATTATCCATAAACATATGCAAATACGCGGATGATTGTACACAGGACGAAGTGGTGTCACAAGGTTCATCCAGCCATATGCAGGAGGCCCTTGAAGCAGTACAAGAATGGTCTAATAGGAACAAAATGACGATAAATTCGAAGAAAACAAAAGATATGTGGATATGTTTTAACACAGCAATACCGGCACCAGAACCATTGGTCATTGGAAACGAGGTAGTGGAAAGAGTAAATTCTCATAAACTGTTGGGTGTCTGGCATCAAAACAATTTGAAATGGAACTGTCATGTCAAGAACATTGTAAGGAAAGCAAATAAACGAATGTTTAGTCTGAGAGAATGCCGTAGGGCGAATCTTCCTCCTGAGGTCGGTATTACATGTTATGAATCCAAGATTAGACCTGTTTTAGAATATGCAGCTCCGATATGGGGTGGTTTACCACAATATCTCATTGATGAAATAGAGAGCATTCAAAACAGATGCATCAAAATCCTTGGCACATCTCGGTGCAACTTTGAAACGCTAGAACAAAGAAGGGCACACCTAACTGTTAAGGAATACCAAAGAATTCTAAGTGATCCGACCAACCCATGTAATAAACTTATCCCCCAACCTTTTACCCATGAACACGATCTAAGAACAACAAATAATCTACCATATGTTGTATCGTATACTAAAAGACACCGGCAATCCTTTATACCTAGAGCTATATCCCTTTTAAAACAGTCCTAAATTAATTTTATAGAATATATAACTAGTATAAACATTTTTAGCAACATTGATGTAAATAATAGTAAAATTTCTTCTTATCAATTTTAACCTTAGCACTTCTTGTAAATCCATTGTACTTTTTTAACCAAAGATGGATATTAAATGTTATTATTAATAGGTCCAATTTAGCACATTTATCCTAATCAAATGAATTTAATTCCCAAAGGAGTCAAGCTCATAAGAGGGTCCTGAAGGGGTAAAATGGGAACTGGGATTGATCTATTTTTAGACTGGGAAATGGGATTTGGATTGCTGGGACTGGGATTTGGCCACTGGGAATGGGAAATGAAGTCCTCAAAAATGGGAATGGGATTGAGGTAATGCGAGTCGATTCCCAATTTTTCTGCGTTTTGAGTACTTTAAAATACAATTTTGATCCGTTTTTGGTGTCTTTGGTCATGATTTTTGTTGTTAACTATTTTATTCACAGCACTACCTGCGAACAGGCATACTCTGGCGCCCGGAATTCTGGGTTTTATGATTATGCGTGTCTCAGAATGCTGCAAATGCAATTTCCGGGATTCAAATTTAAAAATTTTCCGTGCCTTTGGCACAAGCGCCCCCCTCATATTTCATAAAGTGTCCGCCACTTGCTTAAAAGGTCTTAAAACTGTTTATTCTACCGATAAATAAAGGGTTTTTTATTGACTGGGATTTCAATAACTGGGACTGGGATTTCTAATAAAAATCCAACTGGGACTGGGATTTTGCCAAAATTTCAGGTGGGAAATGGGATTGGGACCCCCCCTTCAGGATCCTCTCATAACACAAACAACTTTCTTTTAACATTAAAAATGTGTAAAAATCCATTGAATTCTACCAGGTTTGCTGCTATTGAATTGGGTTAGACGAGCAAATAAATTCAGCTTGCAATCTCATTTAGTAATTGTTAACTATTTTTTCATTCTGACAGGGGTCATCCCAGGGCTTCCCATTTTCCAAAATGGGTAGTTCTAAATGTAAAATTGGTAGTTCTAAAACTTAAAATGCCGGGCAGTTTTCGAGCTTTATATGAAAATTAATTATAAATTAAGTGCCCATACAGATATTTAAGGCGAAAACAAATCCAGCTGTCACTCTGAAAACCCATAAAATGACCATTCTGGATTTTTAAAATTCAAAATTTTCCAAGGGAGCATGCCCCGGCCAGGACCCTCCTAGCTATTCGGGCATCCAATACGCCATGGCAAAAATGCCTCATTGAAGGGACGTTTTTGGCGCAGTGATTAATCCATGAACCTTGTCTGCCACACAATTAGTCTGTGTTCACTACCTCTGTTCTTGTCGAGGAAGACCCCTGCATTCTGATAACTACAGATTGGCCACAATCTGATGCAAAATATGCTTATTGATAGCCAGTGATCTATTGATAACTTTACCTTGCCAGTTAAAATATAATCGGCCGATTCTCTAACTTGTTGTGTGTATAGTACACATATTTCTCCTGTCAGCTGACTACAGCGTTCATTTTCAAACATCACGACTTGACGTCGTTGTCCGTCTAGAGTGTAGTGGGTAATCCACAATGCTAAGAGAAACCAAAAATAACTAAATGTTACGCTTTTGACGATTGGCATTAGTTATACAACTGTACTTCAGAATATATTGAGCATGGCCGGGTTTTGAGGGAGTCGGTGACCGCATTTTGTGGGGTTGGTGGGGTTTGGAAGTGGGTGGGGTGGTGTGGGGTGAGGAGGTGTGCACCTAAAATTATTCTATCAAAATATGTCAACACAAATACTTCGTTTCTTCGAATACTTCCCTGTGAAAATTGTTACAGGTGCTAAAGCGTCCCAAGAGTATGCGCTTTAGATACTGCAAGTTTTCTTGCACTTCCGGTTCCGTGTATCCCAGGACCTATGAAGGTCGCGCGTGGCCAAGAGGCCCTGGGAGCGAGAATGGCCAAGGTGTAGACTGATATATGCGCAATTGAGACTCAGACAGTACTAAGCACTAATTAATAGGTCTGAATAATTACTGTGTGGATCGTTTTGAACTCCTGTTGTAGTGACTTTTAATCCACCACGATGTTCCACCATCTTCAAAAACCCGCCTCCACTGCCGGGTTGTTGATTACAACTGAACAGTTGTACTTTTCTGGACGGCTGTATCTCGTCGTCTCGACCATCCTGAAGTAGAACAAAAACTGATCTAAATAAAAACTACAGCTGGATAGGACTAAGACTAAGAGCCAATGGCGATCACATTGATGGGATCAGCACGAATCTACTGTGGTATATTGGTGACATATTAGAAGAGGTTCTAACAGTTTCTCGTTTATGTTGGAAAAGGACACGCGTTGTCTAGATCATTCACCTAAAGCGCGCTGTGAGTACAAATCATAAAATAATACAAGTCAGATGGCCCACCAAGAGGCACAAAATAGGCAATGACTTGTTACAGTAGCGGGCCTGTTAGTTTACTAACTCGATGATTCATAGAGATGACTCAAACGTACTGGTCCATTGTAGACAGTATGATTCTACAATAATCTGCCGTGGTGATTGCATCTGAACTATACCCGAAAAAGATCTCAAACGTGGTGATCCAATGTAGTATTCTACAATAAGCTGCCGTGGTTTGGGTCTAAACTACCTGAAAAATGATATCTCAAACGTGGTGATCCAGTGTATAGGTAGTGTTCTACAATAAGCTGTCATGGTGTGTCTGAATTACCTGAAAAAAGATATCTCAAACGTAATGATCCTGTGTAGATAGTATTCTATTAAGCTGCCGTGGTGTGTGTCTGAACTACCCGAAAAAGATATCTCAAACGTCTGCAGCGTCCAGTGTAGGTAATGTTCTACAATAAGCTACCGTGGTTCGTTTCCGAACTACCTGACAGAGATATCTCAAACGTGGAGGTCCAGCGTAGGTAGTAAACTAGTATTTTGCAATGTGCTGCCGTGGTTTGTGTCTGAACTACCTGAAAATTAAAATATAACTCAAATGTGGTAATCCAGTGTATACGTAGTATTCTAGTAAGCTGTCGTGGTTTGTTTCTGAACTACCAGAAAAAAATAACTCAAACATCAGGGTCCAGTGTAGGTAATCATTCTACAATAAACTGCCGTGGTTTGTTTCTGAACTACCTGTAAAAGATATCTCAAATGTTGTGATCCAGTGTAGGTAGTGTTCTACAATAAGCTGCTGTGGTTTGTGTCTGAACTACATGAACAGGTTAAAAGCACTTCAACGTTTTAAGCAAAGGCCCTTTTCGGAGTCTCAGTAACTTAATGCCCTGACCTCAAACTGCTAGACCGCCATTTACCAAAGGTGGGTTGACTACAAAATTTTTGTAGTTCGCTATAACTACAGCTACTTCAAAAATATGTAGTCAGCTACAACTACTGCTACTTTTGAACAAAGGTAGTTCGCTACTGACTACAGCTACTGCTTAAAAAATGTAGCGAACTATTTCGCTATTTCGCTACTCTATATTTTTTAGTTTTATGGTATTTGGAGCATCCACTAGCTCGGGCTGTAATATCATGCACCTATAACAAATCGACTTACGAGTAGCAACAGTAAACAAAAAGGGTCAAAGCAACATTTTTGTAAGCACTACAGTGTTCAGGAGTGCCACTTTTCATTGCGCTAAAATAATCTTTACTGTATAAAATAATCTTTTAAGCAAACCGTGTCTTAATATCATTTTACTCTATGAACGGGTGCTAACAATTTTAAAAAGTAGCGAATAGCGATTCGCTGTTGAAAAGTAGTCAACTATTCAGTGGCGTGCTGGCAGGGGGGGCCGGGGGGCCACGGCCCCCCCAGCTGGCAATTTTTGGGGGGCGCAAAAATGAAAAAGGGGCGCCGAATTTTGAAAGTGGGTGGGAACAAACGCATTCTCGAAACAATATGGTTACTTCCGCCAAGAAAAGACGTGTTTATAGGCTACAGTATAAAACGGACTAAGCGCATAGGCGACGTATATTAAATTACAGACTATTTTGCCTAACCGTATTTGCTCACAGTCACCCGAAATCGTTCATATAGAAACATGATCAGTGATCACAGGCAATGTCTCATTACCGGAATATTGGTCAGGTTTCGATCGAAGCGATCACGGGAATTATGCCCTTTTTTTGCTGGTATTATGCCCTTATATTATGCCCTTTATTATGCTTCACGAATCACGAGAGCGGCGCAAATTAGATAGTTGAAGTTATGATAACTGATGTAAAGTTGTGTACGCAATTTAGTTGTTTGCACAAGAAGCATGAGTAATGTAAGTAATGAAATAATGCTGAAACATGCCCTTTTGGCAGCCAGGCAAAGGAACCTTAAAATGCATATACGTGGGGTGCGCGTGTTATTGTATAAAAGAGCTTTAAGTTGTAAATGTGCTCAGAACAGTAGATCAGTAGAAAACAGAATTGGGAATAGATTAATCGCTGGAAGTAGTTAGCATTGTATAATTTAAGTACTACAACTAAATTCTAACCAAATTGCAAATTTCGACACGTTATAATGCCGTTTCCTGACCATCAGATTTCTGTCAAATCTTCCCCCAAAGTCCAGGAAATGGCATTTCAGAGACTCTAAATTCAAAAATTTTCCTGGGGGCATGCCCCCGGACCCCCCTAGACAAACCTCGCACCTGCGGCACTCGGCTCGTGCCTTCGGCCCTCGTTTATCAAGTGTAACATTATAGGGGCGCATATTGGCTGACAGCCCACTGGCCCCTCCAGATAAATAGTACCCAGCACGCCACTGCAACTATTTGGCTACTTTTAGGCAAAATGTAGTTCGCTATAACAACAACTACTGTTTTAAAAAAGTAGTCAAAAACTACTGGCTACTTGAAAATTGTAGTTCGCTACAGTAGCGAACTACAACTACTTCGCTACTACCCACCTTGCCATTTACTGCATGATATAGTACAGTTAAAGTCACCCATTAATGCACTTCTAAACGCTTGAAGAATATCCTAATACAATGTTAAGTTAATCAAACATACTCACCACAAAAGACAACGATCTACCAACCACGTTGTCAGCTGCAACATCCTCCTCAGATGATGAGTGGTTGCTGGGCGCACTAATGCTTCTTGCATGGTTTCTGCTCTTGGGGTTGGTGTCACTAGAAGGTAAGCCATTATTTGCTATACTGCCTTCACAGTTAGTTGGCGATTGTTTGATGACGCCATCGTCACTTCCCACACTGCCGTCACTAGAATTACCATTCATAGTGTCTTCGTTGCCGGCATTCTGCTCTGGCTTTGAACATGTATTATCGTTCATGGTGCCTTGATTGATAATACTTTGTCCATTATTTATCAATGAAGCAGCGTCAACCATAGCCTTGGATATTGGACTGAGGTCTTCACCATTCTTTTCTTTTAATTTCGGAGAATCAGGCGTCGCCATCCTTTTCTAGAGAATCCAAGAAAACACGATGAGAAATGATGAAAGTCCAATTAGACAAAGCTATATAAACCCAGATATAGGAATTAATTTCATACAATAAGCTTTCATTTCTTATTTTTGCTTTTAGTTTGAAGTTTCGTTTTCGCTTCTAAAAGACAATACCTGGATTAAAATTCTCAAATGATCGTTTGCACAACACAGCATGTTCAAAAATTGGGGAAGTGCCCACACACAATTTAAATAACTTGTACTTTACTTTTTAGAACAATCACTTTCAATTGAATGGAAACCTGTAAAGAATACAACTCATTCCAGTGGAAAATAAAATCCAAGACACAATAAATAGTCTTGAATTCGAAATATAAAGAAAACTTTGGGCACACAGCAGTAATGGCTATGGTAGTATGGTGGTCACCCTAATGCAAAGCGGTCTCAATTTCAGCTCAAAATTGAGTGGCAAAAAAATCGATTACTGTAATAATATCGCTTGAAGCGTCTCACTAAGTTCGGGGAAATTGACTTGAATCAAAACTTAAACTCGAATCAAAGTTTCAGTATTGACAAAATGGCGAAGTTTCGCTGCCAACTCTCATCAATTCTTATTCTCGTCTGACAGAGACTTTACAAATTATTTGTATTTTTTGTTATGGTTGAAGAATTTCTTCCATTCGAAGTGCGTAGTTTGAAGGGCGTCGTGTTTTCTAAAATCTAAATCTGCATGTGCATTGAATTCCATCAACTGAACTTGAGTCAATATCCTGGCCAAGAAGAAGTCTATAACACCCGTTGCTTGTCTCGCACGCTTCTTCATTAAAGTGAAATGCCTGTTTCATTAATTTCTCTTTAATGTACGTCGTTTCATACTTTATTGAGGGAAGGAAAACATCTTTACAAATATGGTATATGTGTATATAGGCCTACAATATTGTAAATTTTTACCCTTTACATATAATATAGGGAAAAGGTATAGCAACAACGACAACAACGACAACGACAACAACGACGACGACGACGACGACGACGACGACGACGACGACGACGACGACGACGACGACGACGACGACGACGACGACGACGACGACGACGACGACGACGACGACGACGACAACAACAACGATTTTTATTCCAACCATAATAGATTATTTACAATATATATATCTTTTGGAGATTGACTAGGTTGGTATTGGTAAAAACCTATAGAAAAACCATAGGGGCTTATCAAGTAGGCAACCAAATACTCAGGGACAATAAAAGTCCTTAGACTATTAAAAATTAAGTTTTATCGGTCGGTCGGAATAGTGTACAAAATACAAATTCAACAAAAAACAAAAAAACACGAAAACACAAATAGAGAAACAACTTTTAAGTTAATTAGGAATAAAGAATGCTTAAG